AAAAAAAAAAAAAAAAAAAAAAAAAAAAAGCCTATTTCAAAATTAAAATGTTACTTTCTACTTTTAGGCACTTGAAGAATCCAGCAGTTTGAAAAGAAGTGGCAGGGATAGTGGATACGGTGATATTTGGAGCATTGACCGTGGAGAAGCATTTTCTTCAATTAGCCATAAAAGAGACGATTCGTTTGATAGCCTGGACTCCTTTGGTTCAAGATCCTCTGCAAGTTTTTCATCAGATATAACCTTGAAAGGCGGCAACGAAGGTATCTTGCTTTATTAAGCTCCTATATTGTCTGATGGATTGTTTGCTGGGTCACATATGGTGGCACTGGCAAGGGTAGGGAAAAATGCACGGACCTAATGCTGCAGGTGCCTAGCCATTTAATTCCCAGTCTTCTAAAGTAGCTCTAAATAAGAGACTTCAGAAGATGCCATGGCAGGATTCCTTTACAGAAATAAATATTGGTAGGTAGCTATTGCTTGAAGCAGAGTTATCTGATCACATGAATATCTCCAGTTAGAACTGTTTACAACACAGTTGTTGCCAACTGTGTTACTTTACTTCTTGCACTTTCTTTAAAGCATAGAGAAGAATGTTTTAAGGTATCAGCTCTTGCCTACCACCTGATCTCTTCCAAATCCCATATAACCTTCCTTAGAAGTAGGATTCATTTCCCTAACTTGACCTATCTGAAACTTTTCATTTGATACTTTTTTGTGGGTCAAATAAAAGGCTTGGTGGAAAACTTTAATTGTTTTTTCAGTATTTCCACCCTTTTAATGTGCTTTCAAAACTGCTGATTGAAAGGCCTGATGAAACCTATCAACAAACAAGACGTACAAGGAAACTGAATTCAGAAATGCAACTCATCCTGTTTTGCCTTGCTTGTCTATTTAAACACCTAAAATTTTTACATAATCTTTTAATTACATAATCACCATAATTAGATATGTGCTTTTTGCTTTGTTGTGTGTTTTTTCTTTTTTGTAGCCATAAATGAGATTTCTACATCTTTTTCGTATATTGTTATACACCAGTATGGGATTAA